AAAAAAAAATTAATAACTTAAAAATAATTAGTAAATGACTTTATCACATATATGAGAACAATATTAGATTTTTACAATTAGATCGAGTGATTAACTCAATCTAGCTAAAGAAACCTAATTAAGATTAAAAAAATTTCTTGGCTATATTTTTCTAATCTCTTAAAATTTCTATCTTAATTCAGTTAAGAAATTTTCTTTAATTTCTATCAAAATTCTTTCTCCAAATTAAGTTAATCACTCGATTTGATTATAAATATCTAATACTGTTTTAGTATATGTTTTAGTATATGTGAAAAAGTCATCTATTAATTCTTTTTAGTTTACTAATTTTTATAATTTTTGAACTTTTAGAATTAAATTGTTACATTTTTAATTTTTAAGGATTAATCCTATAACTAGTTTATTCCAATTTTAACAGAGAATTAACAGAATCCGTTAATTTAGGTGCTAAAGCCAAAAAGAATAATACAAAACTAAAAAAAATAAAGAAATTGGTCCCACTAGTCCCACTAGTCCCACTAGGTGGATAAAAAATTAATAAATAAAGGGTTATTCTAATTTGTATCTCTAGGACATCGATTAAAAGTTTTAAAAAAATAAAAGTAATATTTAATTTATCAACTGTCTAATTAAATTTATTTACGTGACAATAACACTAAAATTAATGTTTACTTTTATATTTTTTTTATACAAATTTATTACAAAAAAAGTATCATTAATATGTGCTCTTAGAAAAATTCATAAACAAAAGTTGAATATTTGACTATTAGGCAATTAACGGTCAAAGTTAACAGCAAAATGGATGGCATCCAATTAAGGATAACATTAAACAAAAACAGGATAGTAGGGGATGACATTTATGGTGTAAGAAAAGTAAAGGGATGACATTGAACATTTCCTTAGTAGAGGGATGGTAATGAACATTTTCACAAAGTACGAGGACTACAGTTGGCTTTAACCCAAAAATCTATATGTATGTATGTCGAAAAATGAAGGAAAAAATCAAATATACATGTATGTAGTGGCATTATGGTAATTTTTTGGGTTGGTGGGGCTAGAGTAATCTAGAAATCCAACAATTAAATTTGGGTTATGTAAGGACAAGTGTCAAGTTCTAGGAGGATTTAGGCACTTTTGATAGCTTTTGTAGTGTAATTATAAATTCTTTAATGTTTCTAGCGAAAGACTACTGGTATGTTGGAACCTTCCCATCTTTGACAACTTCATATCTATATGTAATGGCATATTTAGTGTGTAATTGAGAACTGTTGGCAAAACTGCCTATGTTTGAGATTTCGATAAACTTCTCGAGCAAAATGAATTCACTTTTACCAATTTCCCATGCAATGCAACTTGTGTAGTTATCCATGCATTACATGCCACTGTAGGTTGGTTATGGAGACTCAAATAGCATCTCTAATTGATTTTTAATGGGGTTATAGGTCTTCTAGTTAACATCAAATAATGAAGTTTTAGATCAAGTTTTGCCTTTACGTACTTCCTACCCATTCGTTCTTAGCAAAGACAAGCAACATCGCCAACCTTAAGCTTGGTTGGTACAAATACTAGTCTTCGCTAGGTAGGCAACATTCATCCATCCATGCCTGTCAAGCCACTTCTCTCATAGTTTATCTTGAATAATCCCTATGAACTTGAATTCTTGGGTTTGTGTTCATTTACATCAAATAGTAAAATATGAATAAATATTTGTTCAAATATATAAGTGTGAAATGTATAAGTACTTGCAGCAAAGAAGACCACTCCCTTGTGTGTTGGAAAGGATGGTGAGAATAAATATTATTGTGCCTCTTTATCCATTAGCCATAGGAAGTACTTGTATAATATTGTTGTGTATGATTGGCAATGTGCCAAGATAAAGAATGAATCATTTGGATGTGTGTTGTAGTATTGTTTTATTGAGCCAAGCATCATTGGTCTACAATATTTGCCTACATATAAAAATTAGTAGAAATACGTTGTAAACTAAGTTTACTGATGATCGGTAATTTTACCCATTTATGTAGAAAGAATAATAATATGCATCATCACTAGCCATGTTGTATATATATAGTAGGGTCAGCCAAGAATAGCTTTCTTGTAGCCAAAGGGATAATAATGGCTAGCTTTACCTTTGGTTGGAGTGTGAACTATGTGGAACAAAGGAAGAGCATTCATTGTAATCTACCAAGCTGTAAAGGGGATAAATCTTGTTAATCTAGAACTCTAGATAGTAATGAATCTAATAGAAATGGGTGGATGTTATCCATGGAAGGAGGATGCCAACCACATTCATGGCCTTCGATACAAAAAGCTGTGATACCACAATAAAATGATGGTATTTCTTGAACATACTTGCATAGTCAAAGGATGGTCCTTGTTGTTTTTGCTCGCTAGGCACTACATCGAAATGCATGGGCAACCACCAAAGAGCCATCAACTACAACTTGATGGAATTTTATCGTTGGACGATAGCCATCCTAACCAACCATAGAGTTGCAATTGTTATTAATTTGAGGCTAATCATATTGAGTTGTGTTGACTCTTTGTCCATTTCTAGGAGCTAGTAAAATAAAATATATAGAGAGAATTAGACTTTTTATTGATTTATGGGATTCAATATAGAAAAAATGTGTAGAGATATATAGCATTTTACCCATTCCTAGAGGCTAAGTAAAATAGCAAGTTTGGTCCTTTATCCATCTCTGGGAGCTAAGTAAATGTAATAAAATCAGCCTGTTATCCATTGATGGGACCTAGTGATAGAGATCTGCAAAGCAATTGTCTGGCCCTTTATTTATCACTAGGAGCTCTATAGATGTAATAAAATCAACTCATTGTCTTGTGATTGGAACCATGTAGATATAGTAAGGTAGGCTTTTTATCCATTGTTGGGAGCCAATAAGTTGTAGCAGCAAATATTTCAATAAAGATCATCACCATCACAAATGTCTAGCCATGTTGTAAACATAAATGCAACTGTGTCTAGTCATGTATATGAGAATAATGTTGAAGTAGATCATGTTTGTAACATTCCTAGTGGAGTGGATGAGTGCCACTTATGGCAATGCTGACTCCACTGTGGTCATCAATAGAAAAGAAAAAATAACATATTTGATGTGGAAATAGATCATGTGGGCCTTTCTTAGTCACAAGTCCAAAACCAGTATTACTGATATGGCATTGCACATATTGTGAATTCCAAAATAATACAAATTTATTCATCAACATTAATAGTTTAGATTTTTAAGAAAGAGAATGCCAAAACATGTTGATGTTCCTCACAAAGCCTTTTTTATTTATTTATTTTTAGGTTCTTTGTAAGTACTCTTACTTCTAGCCAGCTAAGGTGGTTTGTTTAAAACTCATTTTGTATTTTTCAAATTAGTCTCTTAAAGTTGATATAATCATTATCAAGTTGATACATATCATTATATGTGCTACAATTTGTAGCTATTCATAATTCATTAAATTTTAGTAATACTTATTTAGAAATATCTTTATTCAACATTTTTACATCTTAATCATTACTCTAGTCCTATAATAATTGAGTAAATAAAAATCAATTTGCATAGTGATACTTTGAATATAATATAAGAAAAAGTGTATATTTGTTTCGATTCTTAAAAAAATTAGAGTTCTAACCTTAAATGACATCATTTCAGTTAATTAAAATTCAATATCGATATTTTAATTTGGAAACTAATTATATATTCTAATATAATTAGTTTTTAAATTTATATACCAATATTTACTAAGGTAGATTTTTAAATTTTGAATTAAGTTTTCAATTTCCTAATATGAGAATCAAAATTTAATAAGGTGAATTTTAAAGTTTTTAATTAGATTTTAATTAAATGAAACAATGTCATTTAAAGTTGAAATTGATATATACTAAATCTCTATAATATAATGGGTATCTCTACCTTCAATACATTATATAATTAAAGTAAAAGTGAGGTTATACATTTCATTACGTGGTTTTAACTTTAGTAATATGTAGATGTAGAAATCAAATTAAGGGCTTGTTTGATATAATGTTTTGGAGGTAACAGTTAGTGATTTTGCTCAAACTGCTTAAGATAACTATTTGATAAATTTATTTATTTTGAAACCAGTACAAACTATGTGTTTGATAAAAATTTTTATTTAACAATTTAAGGCTAGTGGATCGTAATTAATGTTCAAACCATTAGTAAATTAAAAAAGCTGCTTAATGTAGCTTTTTCTATTAAATTGCTAGTGGATTAGCTTTTTTTTTTTTTTAATTTTATCGACAAAATTATCTTTTTTATTTTTTTTATTTTTGCCACAATTTCTAATTAGTATTTATTTAATTATTTTCAACTTTATTTTTTATTTTTAATAACATTAAATAATTATTATATTTTTATTTTTACATTAATTTATCATAAA